AGTCCCCCTTTACTGCCTTTTTGCCTCTCGGTAACCATCATTCTCCCCTCTGTCTCTATGATTGCAAATCAAAGCCAAGAGATGCCACTTCACACCCACTGGGACAGCTATGATCAAAAAACAGAAACTATCAAGTGCCGACGAGGATGTGGAGGAACTGGAACCCTTGTGCTCTGTCGGTGGGAATGTAAAATGGTGCAGCCGGTTCTTCAAAAACTTAAACACAGAATTACCATAGGATCCCGCCATTCCACACCCAGGTACACACCCAAAGGAATCGGCGCAGGGACTCGAATGGATACGCGCACACCCGTGTTTATAGCAGCATTATTCCTAATAGCCAAGAGGTGTAAGCAACGCAAGTCGATGGACATCTCCTTTAAAAACAGGCGTCTCCTTGTAACAACCAGTTCAACGCCTGCCTCCCCCCACCTTCCTCCTCTCCAGGGCCGCATCTTTCTTGCTCCCTGGGGCACCCCAGCCCCAGCGGTGTCAGGCACGTAGAATGGACCCCACAAAGGGCACGCTGAGATGACCTGCGCCCAGATGAGGGGCCTGCTCCACTCTTGAGGACTCTGGCCCAGGTTGCATCAGAAGGCAGTGCCACGGCAGACATTTCACAGCGGGACATTCCCGGCCCCCAGGCAGCTGCTGCCTCCCTGGAAAGACTGTGATCCGGTGGCGGGCGGCACAGGGCCAGGCCCGCACCTTCCTGACCCCTGGGCTGCCTCGGGCACTTACGAACCCCGCCTGGTGGCTCTGGTGAAACGAGGTTCTGGGAGCAAAGGCAGGAAAGTGAGGCTCACTTCCCAGCGGAGGGCTCTGAGAAGAAGCCCCGCTCTCCCCAGCTCACGTGTGCCCACACATGCGCGCACACACACACCCGTGAAGTAACAGCAGCAACATCCACTAAGGTAACAGTAATAACCCACTGACAGCACTCCTCGCTGGGCACCCGCGCTATGCCGGCCGCTGGGCTAATAAGCACTTGAGTAGGTTTCATTCAGACTTCGTAACACACCGCAAGATAGATATTATACTAATCCCCCATTCTACAGCAGGGGAAACTGAGGCTTGGAGAAGGGACACTACTTGCCCAAGGACACACAGGTATCAACCTGGTCAGTGTGACCCTGGAGCCCGTCCACAGGATTTCCAGCTCATCCCTGGGTCTGTACTTCTCCAGGAAACGACGGCTAAAGACAGAAAAGACAGTGATTCTACATGGCAGGGACTGTACTCAAGCCGTAAGAGAAGTGAACGACAGCCACAAATGAGTTCCTATTTTTTAAGCACTTACCGTATGCCAAGGCCTACTTCCTGGCTGTCGTCTTCACAGTTTCCCACCAGGAGGCATTATTATTAACCCATTTTAAAGATAATGAAACTGAGGTTCACGGAGAACAATCACTTGGCCAGAATCAGGCCCCCCCAGTCAGGACAGATTGTCAACAGTCCCAGTGACAATAATTGGCACCAAGGAGTGTCACCCACTCTGGAGTGTGTGGTCAGATGCATTAGGGCAGGAGGGGGGTCTCAGAGCCCCGCAGGACAGGAGCGGAAGGTCTGCGAGGCAGAGAGAGCTGTTCTAAGGCCAAGGGGCTGGAGGGAAGGACCGAGAAGGCAGCCCTTTCAACACTGACCCACAGCAAACCCACCTCCTGGATTTCACATTTCTTGCCTCTTAATTTTTGAGTTTCTTCCCTACCACCAGTTTTGTTTACTCAACCATGGGACGTTTCAGCAAAGGTTCAACACATGTTCCACGGAGGCAACACAGCCCGTTGCACATGCACTGGAATCACAGGAGCTGGGTGCACATTCTGGCTCTGCCACTTGGAAGCTGTGTGACCTTGGGCAAGTCGCTTTACCCCTCTGAGCATCAGTTCTCTACAGTGTAGGGTGGAAGGAATCAGGTGCACTGCCAGGGTCACTGCGCTCCTGAAATGAAATCGTGGCCATGCGAGCACCTGGAGCAATGACAGACACAAGGAGCTGTGCAGAAATCTGGGAGGAATCTGAACCTGCAGACAAAACTGAGGAAAAGGCCTCACGCTCCTGGCACGTGGTGGGGAAGATGAAGCACCTGCCAGGTAACACACCCGAGAAGCTGTACGCAACCACAGCGTGAGCCACAGGGGCCAGGCTTGTTCCCAACTCAGTGCCCTCTCCACCCACGCCCTGTCCAGTAGGCCCTTTCCATTTGGGCTCTCTGGGGCCTGCTCAGATCTACCAGGACCCCCCTCCCGGGAGGCCTGGCAGTGACGTCAGCAAGTCTGTGGGGACACCTGGTTAGGTGGCAGGTCACCATCTCCGTGTGTCCCCCACTGGGGTGTAGTTCTCCCCAGAGCTAAACCAGGAAGCAGCCAGTGTTCCCACCTAAGCCCAGGGGGACTTGCTTTCCCCAGAGCCACAGCGACCACTCTGGGGAGAAGGAACTGGGGGTATTTTTTTCCACAATGCTCCGTCACGTTTCTCCTCCCTGGATGATGCCTGCTGCTTATTATAACTATGACAACATCGGAAATGTTTCTTGTGGATTTCCGCAAGCAGGGAAATGACAGGCTTTGCGTTGGATGCTGCAGACCTGAGATGAAGCCTTCAGTGTGGGATGGTTCCCTGGGGCTGGGAAGCGTGAGTACAGGGGGGACGCACCAAGGTGAGGGAGCCCTCCCGCTGCAGGAGCATGCTGAGGAGGGCTTGCCAGGGACCGGGCAACAACCCCCACCATCCCTGCACGCTTCCAGCCCAACGCTGCCTGCTGCTGGGGCTCCAGCCTGCTGAGGATTTAAGAGGAAGACATATATTCTAAAATGCCATCATTTCTTGAGTGCCCACTGGGTGCTAACAGGCTCTGGGCTAAGTGCTCCGTGCTCTGGTTTGGAGTGTTGCCAGGTGTTACAATCATGTCCATTCTACAGACAAGGAAATGAGGCCCAGGGAAGAATAAAGTGGCTTGACCAGTGGCCAGTGAAGTGGCCACAGGAAGAAAGACACCTGTTGATGCTGGTGACTGAAGAAAATGAGAAAGTCAGTGACCATCCTGAGCCAGAAAGTAGAAATTTGGAGGGAAGATATGAGATGAATTAGATTATACGGAGATATTTGCCAAGTTGGGATTTTGCAAACTTCTCAAGTGCCTGGTAGTGGCTTCCTGGAAGTGTGTTGTGAAGGATTCTGCAGCTGCATCTGGGCTCACAGGAAAGAGTGGGGATTGATTATTGATGTCTGCCCTGGGCACAGTTGTGGGAAGTGGTAGAACAGATGCCACATTTATCATCACTAGTCTACTGCACACCCTTCTCATGCAGGATATTTCTCTGAATATTCCTGCTTCTTAGCATCCCCTAGCACTAATAGAGCTCAGATACAGAATAATAGGTAGAAATACCTTTTGAAGAGGAGAATATTTTCTTTGAGTGTTAAACTACACACTTGGCATTTATTAATTCAGTGTTCAAACTCAATTCTTACAGGAAAGGTAGGTTCCATTCAACATACACTTATTAGGCACCAATTGTGTACTAGGGTCTCTGCCCTCACTGTGCTTAGCAAGGAAGACGAACAATTAACTTAATAATTATTTAATACAGTTGTTCTAAATGCCTCAGATGGAAGTACAGGGGGCTGCGTCATGCCCACCAGAGGGGCAGTCTCTGCCTCCCTGGCAAGGATGTGATCTTGACATGGAAAACTACCTTTCTGTCCACAGTGCCCTGGAAACACTTACACACTGGCTCTGGTGCCCAAAAGGGTGTTGGAACACTGAGGAATGTGGGCACACGATATGAAGGGACCTTGGGAGGCTGCAGCACACGAAGCTGAGGGTGGCCTCTCCACCAGCGATTTGTCTGTCCTTGCTAATTAGAAGCTCATGCCTCATTCTTTGATTTTTCCACCCCAAAGAGAAATCTTGGCCACGCCGCCTATAGCTTTTGGCAAGGGGCAAGGGCACAGGAAAAAGAGAAAACGCAAATGGCATCTCGACAGCTGAGAGGGAAGGTGTGTTTGAAGCCGGCGGAGTGCGCCCAGCTTTTATCTCTAGGCTGTACTTAGAGGTCTCGCTCTCCTCTTGGCCCGAGCAACCTCACCCACAGCCGGGTCGGGGGAGCCACCGCGTGCCACAGTCGCCTCCCCTGTTCCAGACTGGCACCAGGACCGGCAGCAGGGTTTGTTTGGAGTATATGTTCTTCATCAGAGGACGCTCAGACAATCTCCCTTTCTGGCCGAGGAGGAGGAAGGCATCTCTGAGGCCGGCGCTTCCCCCAGTGCAAACAGCTGACCCCAGCCTGCCCGGCCTGGCTTCCAGCGTTGTTGCTTTTGCAAATACAGTCCTGGGTCCTATTTCCCACATTCCTGCAGCCAAGTCCAGCCAGCCTCCCAGAGGCATGGCCCCCTCCAGGGCTGGAGACCAGGACAAGCAGGACGCAGTCTCCTCCCACCTTCTAGAAAAGCACCGGCAGAGGGGTCTGAAAGGAGCAGGCGCAATGAGGACAGACAAAAACGGGGAGAGACTTTTAGAAACAGAGCTCAGGCCCTGGGGACTGGGACCAAGCAGCAGAAGAACCCATCTTTATAACTGTTATTCCCCAGCTCACTTCCCTAACACCTCCTCATTCCTCAGACCACAGCTGACCAGTCACTCCCTGTCCCTGCAGAGCAGGCTGGGCCGCCTGATAAAACGGGGGGCCCACTGAAACTCCTGTTGAACGTCAGTCTCCCCTCTGGAACGGACCGGCAGCTCCGTGAGCGCAGAGACTTTGTCAGCCCCAAACCCCAACACGTCTAGTGAGAAATGAAGAGCAATGGAGGAAAAAGGAGGAAGGAGGGAGGGAGAGAGGGGGGAGGAGGGAGGAGGGAGGGAGGCCACTTGGTTTCTCCTACCAGGGCTGGCCTATTGTGGTCAGCAGAATAATGGCCCCCCAAAGATGCCCACATCCTAATCCTCAGAACATGTGCATATGTGACCTTACCTGGTAAAAAAAAATCACATTTGCAGATGTGATTAAGTTAAGGCCCTTGAGATAGGAAGATGATCCTGGACTATCTGGGTGGGCCCCGTGTCATCACAAAGTCCTTATAAGAGGGAGGCAGGAGGGTCAGAGGCAGAGGAGGAGAAGTGACAACAGAAGCAGAGGTCAGAGCGACGCCACCATGAGCTAAGGAATGCGGGCAGCCTCTAGAAGCTGGAGAAGGCAAGGGAACGGATTCTGCCCTGGAGCCTCCAGAAGGAATACAGCCCTGTCAAAACCTTGATTTTAGCCTGGGGGACCCATTTTGGACTTCTGACCTCTGGAACTGTTAAGATGACAAATTTGCATGGTTTTAAGCCACAAAGTTCGTGGGAATTTGTCACAGCAGCCATAGGAAACTAAAACACCCATGCAGGACACTCTTGGGACCTCCAGCCAGTGATTATCAGCCCCACTGAGCCCATATTCGTGACACGGCAGACATTACTAATGGCCATGGAGTCCTGGTTGCCTCCTACTTCCGGGTAAGTGAAGGATGGAGATGCCCACCCACTTGAAGACAAGCCAGGATGACATGACTGGTTCCGGCCGATCAAATGTGAGAGGAAGTGACATGAGTCACTTCTAAGGCCGAAGGACTGCACTGAGCTCCCCACCTCCCCAGGAACCCTGAGGCTTCGTGAGGAGGTGATAGCATCACCAGGCCGCAGACCCTCTGCCAGCCTGTCCCCCTGCACACCGCCCGAATGGAGCAGGTCCCTGCTGACCCTCCAGGACCACATTGACTGAGCAAGAAGAAAGCGTCTGAAGCCCCTGGGACCGAGGAGTCTTGTTACCGCAGCACAACTCGCCCAGCCCGATGAGACACGTGGGGACCCGTCTATGGAGCCGCAGCTGCCACCCACGCGCATCTGCTGGAGCTGTCCACTCGAGGGGCCTCAGCTGCCTTTGGAAGCAGATGCCACCGTGGCCACAGACCCCTGCACTGTCCCCAGGGCCCCCTTGGCAATTTCCACCTCGGACGAGGGAAGTCCACTTTAGTCATCGGATGATTGTGAAGTCACTTCTTCCAGACGGGTACAGAGGGACGGGAAGACAGAGCAGCTTCCCGCACCTCCCACACGTGTCCCACGCGCGTCTTTGAGGCGTCGTCCCTGTAGCCACGCGCCGACACGCCCACTGTGACTTGGTCCTTTGCGCTTCCTTCCTTGGGACCCACAGACGTCTTCTCATTGCTCTGCTTCTCCACCAGGCCCTCTGCCATGTCTGTGCTGCGATTCTAGGAAGTCGAGGGATATTTTCAGAGCTTTATTGTCCCATTTGTCACTTGCTAATTAGCTAGGAGTGACTAATCAGAAAACAGTGGTGAGGCAGATAAAACATTCCCATTTTCTTGGCTTTCGGTTGCCCCTGGTTACTGAGAGCCCTCTAGATTTATTTGATGGAGATGGGGGGGTGGTGTACAAAATGGGGGTGGGATTTTCTTTGTCCTCTTCTGGGCAACCATGGAGAACCTCGGCGGCTGTCACCAGGGAAAAGGGTGGTAGCCTCACCTAAGAATGACAGTGTTGTGGTCACCAGTGGGCAAAGCCAGGGTGTCTGGAGCCCCTGACCTCAGCCTTCTAGTAATTTCTAACTCTGACGAGGTGAGCTTTGGAAGCACAAACAGCTTCACTGAGTTCTGGACTCTCCTGGCAATGGGGGCCACGTGACCTCCCAGTGCTGGTCCTGCCTAGTGCCGCCAAGGTGTCAGAGCCGAGAGCAGGAGGGGCAAAGTCCCCGCTGCCCTCCCAAACCCCCAGTGGACAAGGTCACACCTCCCCAAAGCTGGGGGGACATGCCATTCACCGACTGCCCTCTCCCAGCCAGGCCCCGAGCCAGGCACATCTATCCCCTGTGATCCTCACTGCAACTTTTCGGAGTTGCTGTCTTTTGTGCTCCCATTTCACAGACACGAACACTGAGAGTCAGAGAGCGTGCACGATTAGCCTCAGGTCACACTGCCAGTAACTGGCAAAGCTGGGTGTCAAATCCAGGTCTCTATGTCCACTGCATGTGAGCATAAGGGGAGGGGAAGGGCTCACCTTGATATGTGCTGGGTGCCTGGCATATGTTATCTCAGTCCCACGACCATGGTGTGGGGGGGGGGGTCATACTACACACAAGCGTGCAACACATATGCACGCACATAGGCTCACATGTAAATATGCACAGGCACACACATGTGCATGCACACAGGTGCACACACACTTAAGCATGCACACGGCACGTGGACACAGACACGTGGACACATGTGAACGCACATATATGTGCGCACAGAGTTCACACGGCACGTGGTAATACACACATGCATGCACACACACGCACTCACTTATATACACACGGTTTTTCAACACGGAGGGTGAAGAAGACACGCCGCACCCCACGCCCAGGCCGCCAGGTTTAGCGAAGGCCAGTCCTTGCTGCCTCTGCCCTTTGGGGTGATTTCATCACCGACAGTGATTTCCAAAGACAGTAAGTAAACAAGGCCTGAGGCCTGCCTCTCAGGGCCGCCTCTTCAACCCCCACCACACACGCACCCCACAAAACCCAGCCCTGAAAGCCCCCCAGGTGGGACAGTTTCCCTGGGGGCACACAGCAGACCAGGGCTGGCGAGGAGAAGAGGGAGGAACGTGCTGAAGAGAATTTCCCAGCGGCCCTCGGCCCAGCTCCTGACCTCGCGGGTCACAGAAGACTGATGAAGAAAGAGCAGGCGTGGAGCGCACGGCCCCGCCTCTGCAAGGCTGGCCTTTTCCAGGGCAGAGTTCTGGCTACCGAACTACTGACCAGCCCAGCCAGGTCAATCATTGCCTGAGAAGCACAAACGGCTCCCCCGGCCCTCAAGCTGGTGCCCCTGTGCCACTACTGTAGGTCGAGCAAGTCAGGGACCAGCTGGGGGCAGAGACCCTGCCCTCCCCGCCCTGTATTTCCAGCACGGAGGGTCCGGTTTGTTGACTGAATAAGCTTGTGATCAATCACAAAAGGACCCTTTTCACTGCTCACCTGCTACACATCCAGCCTTGGACTGAGCTCTTTCCATCTGGGCAAAATGTAAAATAGGTAATGGCTGAGTGCCCAGGCCCAAGCAGACAGACCTGGGTTCAAATCCCAGCACCGACAGCTCAGCTCTGATGCTCACCTGTAACATGGGTTGGTATGAGAATGAATGGGACAGTGGGCACTAAACAGGAGTTCCCAATCGTGCACATTTGGCAATGTCTGGAGACATCTGCAGTCATCACACTGTGGGCAGGCACTACTGGCATCGAGGTCAAGGCCAAGCACGCTGCTAAGATCCTACCACGCAGAGGCCGGTCCCCACCGTAGGGAATGACCCAGCCTCACATGTACAGTGCCAAGGGTGAGAGATCCTGGTGTAAAGGATGTAACACAACACCCAGCTCAAGGTAAGCTCTCAACAAACAGCAGTTGCTCTTGTTATCTCAAAATCGTCCCAGCAGCCCTACAGCATGACATTATTGTCACCAGACTGCAGGGAAAGAAGCTGGGATCGGATCAGAGAGGCTGTGACTTGCTCAAGTGACAGTTAGGAAAGAGCAGAGCTGAACGGGCTGCCCGACTCCACCGGCATTCCTTTTCCCTCATGGCACGGGGTGCTGGGGCCCACGCTGCTCCCAGGCCTGGGGCCCACCGCCCTGGAGATCAAATCTCCCCTCACTGCCCCAGAACTGCAAGCCAGCATCCCTGTGTTCTCCTTCCTCCTACAGTTGCGCAAAGGGAAGATGGGCCGTTTCCTGAATTGTTTTCCTGGGCGCCGGATGGACGGATACCCCTGTCTGGACCCTGCAGACAGCTCGGAGCAGACACTTCCTTCCCGTCCCTCCTCACTCTCCCCGGCCCCCACTTGCTTTTGCCTGAGAGGGCAGTCTGTCTCCAAGGCCCAGTTCCCCTCTGAACAAGCTGTCCACCCCTGGCCCTGCAAACCTGACCCTCCTCTGAGCTGGCTGTCCCTGGCCACAGGACCCTCTGCCCACACGCCTAGAGAGGGGTGTGTCTCCAGAGGTGGAAAAGGGTACACAAGAGCCTGTACGACCTGGTCTCTGTCCACCTCCAGCTGGTCCCTCACTGCACACACCCCACACTCACGGCCACATAAACACACACGGCATCTACGACCAGCCACACACAACTCCTCCTGTCTCTCCAGCCTCTTTCTAGAAGCCAGGCCTTGACATGTGCTCCTCCTCCCTGGAACACTGTGCCCCTCCTCCTCTGCCCCATATCCCCTTCACGTGACTTAGACTTCACTGAAACATCCCCGCCTCTGGAGGCCAGGCTTGGCTCGGCTGCCCCGCTGCTGGGCGCCCACGTGTCAGCACCTATCACTCTGTGCTGTAACGGAGTTCACGCTGGTCTCTACCCAAGGTGGCGAGAGCCCTTCTGAGCACCTCACCTTTACAGCCTGGCATCTAGCGCTGTCTGGTACAACTTTCCGTGATGATGGAAGTGGCCTCTACCTGTGCCGTCCAACACAGGAGCCACTACTCATACGTGGCCGTGGAGCATTTGAAATGTGGCCTGTGGACTTGAAGAATGGAATTTCTAATTTTAATTAAATTTGAAGAGCCATATGTGGCTTGTGGCTACCATATTGGACAGAGGAGTCTAGAACAATGCCTAGCACACAGTAAATGCTCAGTCCCCCCGGTTGAATGAGTGAATGAATGAATGATGTTCATCACCCTCCTTGATTCCCCCACATTATGAGTGTCTGCTATCAGTCTCCTCCAGCAGGCTGAGATTCTCCTGAGGGCAGGATGCAGGTAGGTTTTGCTCCTCACTCGATCCCCACTGTTCTACATGGTTCCTGGGATGGAGGCCCTCAATAGATATTAATTGAATAAATGAATGCATGAATGAATGAATGCTCTGCAACTCAGAACCTCTTTCCCCTCCCCACCAAGCCTAAGGAAAACCCATGAAAAGGAAAGCTGTCCACCGGGCTGGTTTCTGAACGCACTTCCAGCCCAATTCCTCCTCCTCACTAAAGTGACCATCTGCCTCCCGCATCCCGGGCACCGTCTCGCCCGGTGTCGACAG